GGCGTCAGCGCTGTTCCCACAGGACTTGGAACAGAGGGCCTCCCACCTGTGTTGACTTCCTGAACACGCAGCGTGAGCAAGAAATTAACAGAGGTGCAAGAGTCTGCCCGGGAGAAGGGACAAGGACACGACTTCATTTCTGTCGTCACCACAGCGGCTGATGACCATCCCACAGGGTCCACTCGGCACAGCCTGGCTGTGGATGTACACTCGGGTCCAACTTAGGCGTTGTCGATGGGCCGAGCTGATGGACCAGGGCTGGGGGACACCATTCACTCTCCAGGTTCTGCGTCCCCTGTCCTCCACAGCCCGTTACATGAGGCCTGCACCATGCTCGGTGCAGTGGGGTTCCAGCTGCAGGCTGCCCTGGCTGAGGTCTTACGGGGGGAGCCAGGACTAGTGCTCTCAACAGAGCCATGTGCCTCTGGGCTTGGCAGCCTGCCTTTTCATCAGTGATATGTGTGCTTGGTCCTGCTGGTACCTCACCACAGCACTAGGTCTGGCGCACAGCACTGGGTCCCGCGGTGGCCTCCCAAAGTGGGGAACAGTAGATATGAGGGAAGGCTGTGCGGGGTAGGTGCACGGAGCCCAGCCCAGGTCCCCTGTGCTGGGGGCTCCACTGCAGTAGCAGCCCCCACTCTCAGGCTCCATTTCTCTCCCCAGCTTTATCCAAGGTGGGCAGAGGGCACGTCTCTGTTCCCAGAGATTGGCAGCTCCAAGGAGCCTCCTGGCCAGCATGACCAGGCCTGTGTCCCCCACAGGTCACCTGGATGTCAGGATGGCTGCAGCAAACCTGGAGAACCAGCTGCACAGCGCGCAGAAGAACCTGCTGTTCCTGCAGAGGGAGCATGCCAGCACGCTGCAGGGGCTGCATGCCGAGGTCAGGCGGTTGCAGCAGCACTGCACAGGTACAGGGCCAGGGGCCTGTGGGGCACAAATAGCCTAGTCACCGGGCAGGACCGGGCTTGTGCTCCCTAAAGGGCAGGGTTGCCTCTCCTGCCACCCCAGTGTGGTCCCCGTGTGATACCTGCCTCACACAGCAGGTGTGATGCTGCAGAGAATGTCCAGGACCACTGAGGGCCAAACCCTGGGTCAAGCCCTGTGGAAGGGACACCAGGACTACACCCGTACCTTGGAATGCATGGCCTTACAGCTCTGGATTGCTGGGACGTGGTTTTGGGGAGAATGCAGGGTTCCCCCCAGTGGTCCCCACCTGCTTCCAGTGCTGCCAAAACCCATCCTTGTGGGCAGAGCTCTTGGGCTACTTAGAACACGCGCTGCCTTTTCAGAGCTGGTGGATGTTTGGGAGTAAACTGTCCCCGTATAGAACAAACTGCTGCCTGTCGTTTGTTTTTTAGACTTAACATATGAGCTGACTCTCAAGAGTTCGGAACTGACAGGTAAGAATGTTGCTGGGGCCCCACCCCCCACCCCAGCCCTGTCTCAGCGACAGCCCCTGAAGTGCCGCTCTGGGAGGAAGCGAGGGAGCTGGAAGCACAGCCAGGGCGCTGGCAGAGAATCGGGCCCCAGTGCTAACAAGCGGCTGTGGGGCAGTGCTTGTGTTTTCTCTTGGTTGATCCATATATGGACAGTTTGTTATCTGCCTTCTGGGGCTACCTGTTTTTCTAGTAGGGATGTATGTTGTTTCTATAATCAGGAAACCCAAGTAGGTGTGACTTGCACCAAAAAAGCAGGGACAAAGGAGATCTGGCCACCTCCCACCCCGGTATCCCTAGAGCTCACGCGAGTGACCAGGTGACTTGATGGATCCCCAGCCAGAGTCCCCAGGGCAGGACCAGAGAGCACAGGATAAGCAGGCCCCAGAGGCTGCTGGGAAAGGCCAAGTTCCTGCTATCGGCTCCTGTCAAGAGAACAGCCCTGGAAACCTTGTGGGGCAGCTCGGCTCTGCCCTACGGGGGTCACTGTGAGGCGGCATTGCTTTTGTTGGCGTGAGTTCCCCTCACAGCTGTCAATCAGAGCTGCTCAAGGGCTGTGGCCACCACCACACCTGGGCCGAGGGGTCCAGTACTGCCCCGGACACCTGGCAAGTGCAAGCGCTGAGTGGACCTGACCTGTTCGAGTGCCTCCAACACTCCAAACTCACTGCCATCGGGTCGATTCCAACTCCTAGCCCCTCACCTTGTCCAAGCAGAGTAGAACTGCCCCCTGCACGTTTCTGAGGCTGTGCACGTGGAGAGGAGTAGAAAGACTCACCTTCCCCCTTGCATTCAGCTGCCCAGCGCCCAGCCCAGCCCACCCTGCCGCCAGGGCCCCTTTTCTGACTTCAGTGCGTGCACATGTTTGAAACCAGAGCATGGCACTTCCAGTGGTGGAGGGGGGCAAGGGGAGTGGGAGGGACACCCAGAGCCCACAAGCCCTCCTCTGTGGCCTTTGAAGCGCCCCGGGAGGGAGGCTGGCCCAACGGGGCACCCACCGAAGGCTCTAATCTGGGCCATGTTTGCAGGCGAGGGGGCCTCTCGGAGCAGCGAGCTCCAGCAGAAGTGCGCGGCCATGGAAGCTCAGCTGCGCTCCCAAGACCAGGAGAACCAGGAGCTGCTGGCCGAGCTGGAGCAGAAGAACGCCATGATCCTGGTGCTGGAGAACACCCTCAAGGAGCGCGAGAGGAAGTACCTGGAGGAGCTCAAGGTCAAGAGCCACAAGCTGAGCCTGCTGTCGGGCGAGCTGGAACAGCGCGCCGGCACCATCGCCTACCTGACGGCGCAGCTGCACGCCGCCAAGAAGAAGCTGCTGAGCGCCGGCGGGACCACGGAGGGCAGCCCCTCGGGCAGCCCCTCCGCCCAGAGGTCCGTGCTGGCCAGCTACAAGCCCGCCCCGCCCAAGGACAAGCTGCCCGAGACGCCGCGCCGCCGCATGAAGAAGAGCCTCTCGGCGCCCCTGCACCCCGAGTTTGAGGAGGTCTACAGATTCGGGGCCGACAGCCGCAGACTGCTCTTGCGCGAGCCGGTGGATGCCATGCCCGACCCCACCCCGTTCCTGCTGGCCCGGGAGTCAGCCGAGGCGCACCTGGTCAAGGAGCGGCCCCTCGTCATCCCTCCCATCGCGTCCGACCGCGGCGGCGGGGCCAGCGAGCAGCCCACCCCGGCTCGCGACAAGAAGGCGCACGTGGGGGTGGCCCACCGCATCCCGCACGCGGCCCCGCCGGCGGCGCAGCCCGAGCTGGAGACGCTGGCGGTGGACCAGGTGAACGCGGGCAAGGTGGTGCGCAAGCCCTCGGGGGCCGACAGCGCCGTGTGACGCCCGCCCCAGCCCAGCATGCCACAGCCCCTCCTGCTCCTGCCCCCGCCGCCCACGCGAC